CCCCCCCCAGAAAAACGCACACATTCACAAAAATGAAAATAAAAATATATGTCCCTTTTTATCGGATTACAGCAAACATAAAAATTTCGAAATTTTTCATCAGAGAACGTTTTACTCGGCGACAGAACGGGCCGCGCGTTCAAAATATGTTTACGTTTTCGGGAATGATTGCACGTTTGTAATAACAGCCGTGGGTGCGCTTTTTTATTGCTCGGTATCAGTCAACGGGAAATACGTTTGGAGCGTGGAAAAAAAGGGAGGAAAAACGGAAACAGGCTGAAACGAGACGCGAAATTTGTTCCGGAGTTACCCCGTACGTATTGACTTTGCTTAGCGAATATACGACGAAGCTGCGGGGGTCGGGGGATCGATAATTAGTTCTGTTGACATTAGTCGTTCATACATCTACTCGAGCGTACACGTACATACGCGCGAATGGCGTATTAATGTATAGATATACGTACCGCGCTATATGTACACACGTGTACCCATCTCGGTAAACCTGTGTGTGTGTCGCAAGTCGAGCAGTGTCCTTTGATCCTGATATTAGTTACGCGCCGATTTGACTGTCGTGGAAATCATTCGACCGCGTTGCTGCAGCCACATTCGCGCATCGATTATTTCATTTTCGACCAATCGACGCTCTGCCCACTCGCTCAAGTTGTTTACTCTCCTATCCTCTCTCTTTGTCTCCTCTCTTTGCTCCCCATTTCCTTCCCTCTTTGTCAGAACCTCTTTCCCTCTCTTTTTCTCTCGCGGAAATCAAACGACGGAGGGACAAGCCGGGGGAAAATCTCGAGCGCTCTTCATCGTCTCGGAATAATTCATCGCACTCTCGGTTTTTTCGCCGGATAACATATGAATATCAAGTGTGTCGGAGCATTGACACAGCGGCTTTGTGCTGGAATATTAAGAGACGAGGCGGAATTTTTGCATACTATGAATTTTTTAAGTCTCGTCCTTTGCGCGGTGATATAAAAGGTAAATCCGGCAAACCCCCGAAGTCCCGCGCGTATATTTAAGGCTGAATATTAACGTCGGGCATTAACATCTTTTTACGGGCGGAATTAAAATTAGTGAGAAACGGTGCATGGTTGCGCCCCGACCGCTAGATATGCAAATTGCTGCATGCGCGCATGAGTACTTCGCTGTCCGCTCAAATTGCTATTAACGTATATTCATTCGTATTAACATGCACTCGTTACGTATACTCGTGCGAGTCTCTAATGTTGCGTGTGCGCGATTCTCCGTCTCGATATAGTCAGACAAGGAAGACGCGAACACATCAAATCAGACGTCACAAAAACGACATGTGTGACGTTTCTAATCCTCGATAAATATCGCAACTTTGAAGACGCGTTAATCCTCACGAGAGGTATCGATGTCCATCTCAGATCGCGGATCTGATTTTCTCGTGCACATCGTTTCATTATTTGCACATCACTCTGTCTGCGGTCGAGCAAGTTACATTGTTAATTAAGTGATGCATCGCTCATTGGGAAAAATGTGCTGTACTGACCGCTGATATCTGTAGACACGCAGGCTTCGCGCAACGACGACGTTACCGATTTTCTGTAATCGCCTCGGGCCGCGAGAACACGCGGTCACCGCGAAAACGTGCCGCGATGTCCCTGTAGCGCCGTCAGCGGCATATTAGCACCGCGAATGCAAATAATTGTTCACCGCGGTTCGCACATGTGTGTGCGCGGACGCGGGCTCGCGTGTGTGCACGCGGGGTGGCGAAACCGACCCTGGAATGTAAATACAACCGACTTCGCAGTGCTCCCGCTGTCAACAGGCTCGTCGCGCTCGTACTCCCGCTGACGTGGATGTACAAGGTGTCTGGATTTAAGTTGTCCGAGCGTCAACTCGTTCAACTAAATAGAAAAATCCTCTAACATTTTGTGAACTCCACCACGATAATTACTGAGGTATTAATGAAAGAAAATTGGTCAGTCTACGCGCGTGACGCGCGGCTCTTTCATTAAGACCCGATCTACAATAGATGGAGTAAGGAGTAGGAGTAAGACGAGATGGAAATAATTTATTTCGCTTACTCCCTTACTCTAGCTCTTACTACTTAATTCAGGGTTACTTCATGTGATATAGATGGGCAAACTTTTATTGGAGTAAGGGAGTAAGCGAAATAAATTAAGCGTCGTCTACAATATGCGGAGTAAGCTTGGAGTAAGAAGTAAGCCGTAAGAATTAACCAATCATAGACGATTATTTTTATAATAATCGACTACGATTGGCCAATTCTTACGGCTTACTTCTTACTCCAAGCTTACTCCGCATATTGTAGACGACGCTTTATTTCCATTTCGTCTTACTCCTACTCCTACTCCTTACTCTATTTATTGTAGATCGGGCCTAATACTTCAATAGAAAATTATCGTAGTAGAGTTCATGAATGGTAGAAGATTTTCTTCTATCGAGTTTTACGAAATTCTACTTGCACACGAGCGCGCGGAGTAATTAGCGATCAAATCTCACAAATTTTTGATTGAGAAGGTAAAGTTTATTGATAATATAGATGATTATATATAAATGATGCAATGTGAGACAGCTAAAACGCTGAGAAAAGATGAGAACCAATATCTGAAAACGACTTATCTTTGGCTGATTGGTTGTTAATATGTGAAATGGTTGTTAATGTGAGTGACTCCCTTAAATGGTTTTAATCCCCACTCAACCACAAACAACGCATTAAAATACACGCCCTATGCGCAGGATGCGGGAGAAGATTTGTTGCGAGCCCTTATTTCTCGCGTCTCTCGTCTTGTTTCGAGTTTTACGGCGAAGAGAAGGAGAAAGAGAGAGAGAGAGAGAGAGAGAGAGAGAGAGAGAGAGAAAGAGGGAGAGAGAGCAATGCGTTCGGCAAAGGGCAATAAAATATCACATCTCGCGTCGTAGGACGCGATTAATCGTCGGCCCGGCAAGAATTAATCGCCAGCGTTGCGATAATTTATTGTAAGCCGTCTCGCCGCGATATTTCAACAGCGGATATTTTTCCCGGTTTTGCGCGCTTCGCTAACCCTAACGCTTTTCCCCGGGAAAAGGAAACGAGTTTCGACAACTCGGCGGATGCGCTACTCTGAGTCTCGTCCGCCAAGATTCGTATAGTGCGAGAGATGCTTTTTACGCGTCTTCCTCTCGATTCGTTTCAATGATTCGAGGAAACTTCGTCTCTCTTTGTGTTCTTGCAAGAACCAAAATATTATTCTTAATTGCACACTGATGCGGTAATAATTTTTACTTATAACAATCGTAACTATATATTTGACTTTACATATCAAGTCGAGGAAAGAATTTTCTGAACTCTTTAGGCAAAATGGAGCTTTTTCTTTCTTTTTCTTAATTTTCAGACAGAGAGAGAAAAAGAGAGAAGAAAGAGAAAAGTGAGAGAGCGAATTATGTATGAATAACGTGCCGAAAGATTACATTGGAATACGATATGATAAAATAAACGAACACTTCTCGTTCTCCGAGACCGTAATAAAATAATACGTCGTCTCACGTCGCGTACGCGCGTGCGCGTACGAGGGAACGTACTCCACGTGGAAAATTCAGATTTTAATAACACTTTGCACATGTGTAGGATAGTCAAAAGGATGAGTTTTGCAATTTCCCGTTGGTGTACGGAAAAATAGATTTATGTTGTCATACTTGGCGCACTCGAACGCGCGCGCTTAGGTATCTGCAAGTAAAATCAGCTGCGGCCTACTTCCTCGGGCGTTGAATTAGTCGTTATAAAGCGAGCTTTTAATCCTTAACCCGAGGAACGCCCATATTTTCCTTGCAATTTGTTTTACATATCCCGGCGAGAAATGTTAAGTACTCGCGTCTAACGTGAGAAGTATGACCGGAGCGAGTGAGCGCGATTATGATGGTGCGCGAATACGAAAGACTCGATTGTCTCGAGACAAATATGTGCATAATATGCGATAGATATGTGCATGTAAGCAATGAAAGACGCGTCGTGTAAAAGAAATCGAGGATTTCAAATGAAGTGCGCGAAGCGTTCCAGATTAAATATCAAGATGTCTGGGATATTCGCTGAATCATGCATTATCGTGGAATATCATGCTCGCGTTATGACACAACACGTTTCTTTTCGCTTACAGAAGCTGCAAACGATCGGCGAGGATTTCTGCGGTCTCGACGTGAACACGCCCCTAGGGGGCGAGGAACCGATGGGTGCAACTTCAGTCCTGACGTTCGAGACTCATTTAACGGCAGTGGCAGCCACTTCGACCGGCGACTACACCGTCGTCTTCGTAGGCACCAATAAAGGACACCTCAAGAAGGTCAGTGCTCGAAATTAATCGACCCGATAATTCGATATCCACGACTCCTTTTATTCTCGACAAAACGCGACCGTCACTTTTGCAATTCTACCGCGAGTCTATGAGAAAGTCTTGATGTATGTCTTTGAAAAAGACAACGCGAAACAATTAAGTCACGAGGTTGTTAAACAACATCTATCTACGACATTCAGTCGAGTTATCGATTGTGACGGAATATTTCCAGTCGTGCTTTTATTACCCGGCAAATTAACTTAAGCATTCATTACATTCGATGAGGGGAATAATCGGCACAAAGAGCCGGCAAATTGTACAGCGCGTAAAAATCAAGTGTATAACGAAATAATATTTCCACTTGACGTGCAGGTTGAATTGCGTAAAGAGGAATCCCGTGATCGGTCATCATTGCCGCGTCTATCTCGTAATTACGTAGAAAATCGCGATGTAATTACGGCGGACAGAGCGGGGCAAGGAGGGAGGAAAAGAGAGAGAGAGAGAGAGAGAGAGAGAGAGAGAGGGAGGAGAGGGAGAAAGCAAGAGAAAGGATAGAATTAACTGACGAAATCGGCGTTTAAAAGTCGGCGATTAGCGAAGGATCTCGCGTATCGATTCGAATGTCGGCACTCGAGCGACTCTCCGCTCGTCCACAGCCGAATCTCTTCGACGCCGGAAGCGAGGAGTTCAGCAACCCTGAACTTAACGGGTCGAAGCGCGGGAGATCAAATGGCAAAGTTCAGTAGTCTCGCGCGCGCGCTCACACACGTCGGCCAGGCACACGCCCGTGTACTCTCCTCCTCGCATGTGTATCGAGGTCTTCCTCGATCATCGTGGCCGCATGATCGTTAAATTAATCGCGATCGCCGCGCGATTACCACGGTCGTGAATCAAACGCCGCGCGGCTTATAAGCGTTACAACGGGCCATGTAATTGGCCGCGCGATAGGCGGAATCGTTCGGCGGTCTGGTCCGGAAAAAAACGAACAAAAGAACACGATCACGGCGTGTATTCGCGCGGGCGAGGTTCGAGGATCGTGGATAGCGCATTATCGTGCATCGCCATTAAAACAATCCCCTGTATGAAATCTTCATAGGGGAACAATTGCGTCGTTAGTAAGATCGCTGCGAACGGCGATCGGCTCGCGGCACGATTCTCGCGCTTTTCTCTTTTGTCCCCTCCCCCCTTCCTCTCCTTCAAATAACGCTTTCTTCCCCGTATTCTTCGCAGTAGCTCTGAAACGGCCCGAACGTAAGCCGGGAAATACGATTAAATTTCGGGAACGCTTTCCGCTTCCCAGCGAGAGATATCATCCCCTTTGTCGAACGACGCTGGTTGGCCTTTCGGTACGGCGTTTTACGGCGATCGATTTACTAAAATTTTACCTGTCATCCGCCCCGAATCGCCGGGAAAGCCCAGAGATTCCCAGGGAAGCTCGCTTTACCGCCGGCGGATGAAGTCGCGGAAAATTGTCGTGGGATTTTCTACGCGCTTCGAACGGTCACTTCGTGTTTGTCGCGCATGGAAAGGATGTCTCTTACATAACAGGCTGCACATCGTCGATCGTGGCTTTATTTTTCGAAGCGTTAACCGCGTTAAATGTTGCGTCGCGTACAGCAGCAGATAGGAAGGAAACACATTGGTGCGCGCGCTGCGATCTCGAGCGGCAGTCATCGTCCTCCTCCCGACAGAGAAAGTGACGTTAAATATAGCCAGCCGTCCTATTGTAGATAATAGTATTTATAGAGTAATAACGCGTATATAGAGAGGGGTGCGCACAACAGAGAGCCTGTATACGCGCGCGACTTCCAACATCCGCGTCTCCACATCGGTAGGCGCGGTTTTTGCGCCGCGACGTCATATCTCGGTATAAATTTATATTATTTACGGCGCACCGCGAACGTGAAATCTCTATCCTCGCGACTCGCGCCACCGCGCTCCTCCGAGATTTATCGGTCTCGTAAACGGGCGACGTGTAACCCCGCTTCGGACGTTTAACACTCGGAATGGTACACCCCGGCTGCTGGGTGGCTCGTGATTCTCCTTTGTTGAGGCCCCGCGACGTAATACCTTTTGCCATTTCAGCGGAAATGGATTATCTCGGCGAGACCTCGCCTCCGGCGCGCAACGCTCGCTAATGTTCTTCCGAGCGGCCGATCAATTCGCTCGATAGGTCAAGCCGATTTACGCGAAGAGAGCGAGCAAGTGCGCGCGCGCTTATATTATTGCAGGAAGATTTATTTATATCCGGGCATAACACGCCCCGAGAATCGTTAAGGCTACGAGAGAGAGAGAGAGAGAGAGAGAGAGAGAGAGAGAGAGAGAGAGAGCGCTTTATTTATTGTGCGTTCTAGGACACAGTCCCCTCAAGCGCAAAAGTATTACAGAAAAAATAAGTATAAAATAAAACAAATAAAATTAAATAATTGGAAGATAATAAACAAATCAACGCTGCTTCAGAGAGAGTAATAACAATCCAAGGAATTTTCTCCTGACAATATTGTCAGGAACTGATAATGTAACCGCGAGTGGCGGATAGCGGTGAAAATTTCACCAACGCCCAACTAACGACGACGATAATAACAATAATAAATAACGACGGCTTCGCGAATTTCTACGGTGACGAGTATTATACCGTTACGACTGCTAAATACTTCGTACAGCCATCTCTCTCAGGATCGCCAGAAATATGTCATTTCGTTTCGAGAACGGTTCTTTCTCGATGTTTTTGCACACACGTACCGATTGTTTTCGAGATATTGCGACATGTGCGCGACTTTTATGAAGAGTGAAATCTGAATTTTCGCGCAAATCAAATATTTCGTTCCGGTGCAGATGGCATGTCTGCCAGATGACAGAATATTGTCATACCGGAGGCTTATAATATCTCCCGCTCTTGATTTCGCGAGCTCGTTTTATTAGCTCCGCGAGAGAGACCACCTCGTCGTAAAACCCTCCTCCAGCTGTACAGGCGAGCTCGCCTGTATTGTTAGATTTAATGGTGCGCATCGATATCTTTACCGCATTCAATATCGAGTATCACGGCTACCGATATCGTTCGTTGTCTGCGGGAATATCGATGCTTTGTAATACCGATATCGCGTGCAATAATCAAACCAACAAGTTTGACCTGGCCATGGGGAAAGGGGGGGAGGGGGGAAGAGGAATAATTAAAACAATGGGACAAGTATATCGATTATTCCTGGTAATTATTGCATGCGCATCTCTACCATGGAAAAAGAGATTTCACTGCTATAGCTGATCATGATTTGCTGAAAATATATTCGTTGTTGTAACTAAGAATTACTGCTGTAACTCAAACTTTTGCTACTGTTGCTACTATATCTGTTTCGTAGCTAAATATATGACTACAATATCGGCTTACGATATCGGTTTGCAATACAGCTATAATATATCGGCTTCATAAGTAAATATATGACTGCACATCGAAAAATATCATTCTATTACTAAGAAATCGCCTACTCAATTTACTTTCTTTCTCTTGAATGAGGATGGTTATCTTCAGCAAAGAATCATAAATTTTAGAAAAGCCCATGTAAAAGAAAAATTTATTTGTCTTTGCTGGAATATCATAACACTTTGTCGAAAAAGAAGTCGATTCGACTCTATGTCGTAAGCAAACTGAATTTTTATTTCAATTTAATATTCCTGATTGAAATGCCGATTTACTAAAAAAGTATTTTGAATAAATTTGATGCTTGTAGCGAACGTACGATAGATTGTATAAACTTACGAAATACTTGAAACAAGTAATATTTACTTGAATGACTGTATCTGTTTTCCTATGTATATATGTCTTTACTAGCAGCTACGCTTTTAGGGGATCCATATGCTACAACGCAAGATTTAGCTATCACACACAGATTCCCGCTGCTGCAGCTAACTTTCTTCTTCCGTAATGTTTATCTTCAGCTCGATATCGTTTCCCAAATATCGAAACCGGAGCTAATATCGCGAAATACCGATGTCACGAGTACTCACTGGGGAAAAAGTATCATCGATGCTGCTATGGCAAATAGCATCCCGCATTGTCGGCGCGACCAAGTTTTACGACCGTATCTACGGACGTGCCGCGAAGACTACGAGGTCGCATCGGGGCGGCCCGAGGGGATGGTGAGCGACGGGGTGACGATGAAACACGCGTCGTACGCGAATCGACACCGAAAGAGCCGGGAAAGCGAGGACGAGGTCATCCCCACTCCGCGTTCAGTCCTGTGTATAATTTATCGGTCGATCGACTTCGATCACATTGCTTCGCGATTCTTATTGTTCTCTCCGACTCTACCGCTTCGCGTGCCCGACCTAATAACGCCAAGGCGCGCATCCTCACGTGCGACACGTGGCTAAATATGACGTACGTGGCTGCACTTAATATTAATTGATACAGTTAAATCGGAAACTGACCGGGTCAGCGGCTCGATTTCCAGCTAGCACAGATTCATTCGCCGAATTCAACGGCAAGTCTCCACTCCTATCAAGTTTCAGCAGGATGAGTGAGACCTATCTCAATATTTAGTGTTTCTTGTGTGCTGATTAGTTACTATAATCTTGATTTTTGTGCTCCGATCATTTAGCAAGAAGTTGTGAGCAAGATGAAGAGAACTAGTTTGACGTCAAGCTAGCCTCCCCCCGCTCCTATACAGACAGAGTGTTCTTCGAGTGGAGGACGAATAGGAAGGAGGTAGAGGAGAAAGGAGTTTAAGAGAGAGAGGGCTCGCCCAGAAATACGTGACGCGAATATTAGTCGTCGGAATGTCGCGATAGTTTGATAATTACTGTCACTAAATGATCGATCTCTTCGAGTGCGACGTAAATGAAGTTGGCAGATGCATTTGTTGACTTTCAGCTAAATTGATTTTATCGTGCGCGTTGAACTCGATGAACATGCTAATTACGGAGCCTCCCGTTACATCGATCGATATTGTTGTGCGGGGCGATTTTATTCTCGGTTACATTCCGCCGATAACATTCCCTCAACATATATCGGG